AGAAAGGACTTGTATCGCTAAAGTTTCTTCGGAAAGAATTTTCACAGAAAATTAACTAACGACCAGAGACGTAACAATATATATCCGTGTCAGTGTAAATTACTTGTACCTGATTATGACAAAACCTTGTCGAAACGTTGTACTTTTGCTGTTATATTAAACTTATGTTAGAGTTTTTCTTCATTATCCATTCAAGCCGTCTCCAACCATTATTAGTCTCCATCGAAATTGTTCACGAATTTACTACTCATCACAGTAATATTTCTTTATTCCGTGTGTTATTGAACTATCAGAAAAACAAATATTCTAGAAAAAACAACTTTATTTGTTGATAGAATTGTTTGCACTGAATTTGATAAACATGATCACTAACATCAAAGTAACCAACACAAAGACAGAATAATGCTTCAGACAGCCGAGCGACACTTCCGGAGCAGAACAGAAGAAGTCCTTTTCCTTTAGTGCACCGTGTTTACATGTAATACTTACTACAGAAATGTGTTCACAATCTGCGATAACGATAGAAGGATGACTGACTGCCTAAGCCTTACAGCTTCTCCTTCTGGATAACTGACTGCTTAGGCCTTACATCTTCTCCTTCCACCACTGATGTTATTTTGTGTGATGACCTTTGTTAGATAGTGTCACTCTGCAATGCAATATCCACTGCAGGTAAATGTTGTCGTCTGCTTCTTCTCTCCCCATGCTTATGACGGCTTTCGATGGCCCGTTTGATCAACCCAATGGTACAGGAGTCCATGGGAGTTCTCTGTGAATGGTATACCACGAGTTCCAGTTTGTGGAGAAACCGAAATGTTGACTTGGACGTGTGGCTGGATACTTCATCTTGATGGAGCCACACTTTGTTGGCATTTAGTTGGTAAAAATATTATTATTCCTCGGGGTGCAATAATGTCAGAACGTTAGCATAGTTCACCTTGGCATTTTTCTAGACTATCCGGCAATTGAACTTACCATTATAGCTCTAAACTATGACATTTTTGAAACGTTGTATCATTGGATACCTAGACTTTTGCAGACATTTAATAAGTAGACGTATACTTACAAAACACACAAACACTAGAGGTTTGCTTGAAAAAGGATATCGCTATATTGACATAGAGAAAGTATTAGAGGAGTTCGTACCCTGCTCTATGCGTGAATTGTGTTCTCACTACTTGTATGTACTCATTATAAAAACGCTTTATACGGTTTATTTCTGTGTGTTATAAATTTCAAAACTATAAGATAGGTTTTGCTGTTTTTCCAGAAGTTTGGGTGTGTGTGTTTGTTTGTCCCAACTGTTATTTACTCATAATGCTTGGAGACGGCTTGACTGGGCAATGAAGAAAAACTTTAATATAAGTTTAACATAACAGCAAATGTACAACGTTTGACAAGGTTTTGTCATCATCCTATTTCTCTGTCTGATGATGACAAAACTAGGACTAGGTACAAACATTAATAAAAATACAACATAAATATTAATGTTATTAAGTTTAATAATTGTTAAAAGAACTAGGAAAATAATCAGAAGAATAAAAAAATTAATTACGAAAAAAATTATGAAATTAAATCACTTCTCAAGATCAATAACAATATCGAGCTACAATTTGCAATAATTCTTTCTAAATATGTCTCGTGAACTATCTAGTTTCAAGATCAAGGAAGGCTATTTATTTAATGATTAGAGCACAAGGTTACATCTGATGTGACTAGCTATTATCATAAATCTACATCACAACATTAATATTTGTACGTTACCGCTAGAGGAAGCTTGTGTCAGCAAACATACTCAAAATCAACGTGCTCAATGTAGAAGGTGAGTTAGCACTTTCACATAACTAAAAATTTATTGTTGAACTAAACGATAAAAGGAATAATAAATGAAGGGTAAACACAACCATAACAAAATAAAAATAGAATTCGCAATCTCACAAGCAAGTCACAGAGACAAGGTTATTACCAATAAAAACTCAAAATTTATTTTCATAAGTACATTCAGTATTACAATGCTATAAAATAAAATTGATCAACATAATCTAGCAGTTCTAAAGCTAAAGCTTAAATTTTGTTAAACCTTAGTTACTTCTTATGACTGCTTTGAATTCAAAGTTTTGTTAAACAAATAGATCATTTGAGTCAAGAGATGTTCGAACCAGCTGGATAAGTGCAATAGCTTTAATTTTTCCGACAGATGACGCTCTTACTCATTTCGATTGTCTTCTAGAAAAAAAAAATTTTTTTCAACGTATAGGCCTACTATTCCTAACTATTGTAAGTGTGTTAAGGTAAAGTAGGTCGTGTGTTATCGTTGTTATAGTTATTTATAATTATTTTTATTTTCAAGAATAAAGAAGAAATGAGTTATTACTGTTAGATTTTATAGATTTAATCTTTTGTATTTTAAAACTTTTTATCATATAATTATATATGACATTAGAGCGAAGAGTTAAGGCTTAACTAAACAGTAAACTCAAAACTGCTAATTGTAATACAGTTACATGAAAAATTTTGCACAAGTTGACCTTTACTAAAATCAAGTATTGCACTACCCATACATTACGAATTCCATAAATATAACGGTACGTAAGATAGTAGCAACAGTGCTTGGTATTACGTAGAAATTAGAAAGTTTTTAAGTGTTACAGTATTTAGAGTATAGGATTTGTAAAACTGCAATTTGCAAAGCCAATAATTCAGATAACGTAAAATTAATAATATTCAAAGAGTAACACTAAATGTACAATCAGGAAAATTACATTTTAAATTCATATGTGAAGTACACTTCACAAATAATATACTGCTAACAAGGGACCATATGGTCCTTCAAGGTGGTCTTGGAACTCCATCTTTAGAAAAAGCAAAAATTTAGTCTTTTTCCAAATCTTAAACTTGTGTTTTCCTATCTTATGATCTTTAGAATACAACACAAAGAAATTGGGTGTCTTTAATTTATCATGAAGCATAATAGGTGTTCATAATAGGGATTGAAAGGAATTTTACAAAACGCTAATATAATATTCAGGCAAAAAGCATCTTAAACAGTAAAGTTTCAGTTCAAACAACACTTTAAAACCTTTACTATTGACTGCTAAGGCAGAATGCATAAAAATGCACCAAAAAGCACTTATATTAGACTTGCAAGGAAAAGAAAATCCACTCAAAATGGCCCATTTGTAATTATTATTATTATTATTCTCTTGCCTTTTGTAGAATACTAAATAAAGTACTCCAAAGGTCATAGGGGTATTGAAAAGTTGATTTGTTTCTTCTATATTTTACATAAGCTAAAAAGCATAATTCTAGAGTGAATAACGTTATTATTGCCCCTTGAAGTTAGCTTTGTTACAGATATCCGGTGTACCTATAAAAAGCTTAAGTACAGGGTGAAACAGGAATTACCAGCCAATAATAGATGGCTGTAACATTGTAAATATTCAATGCTTTGTACACTATACAATCAGTATCTTTAGGGAGACAACCACTATATTATGTATAAAGTCAAGAAGTAGAAAAATCAATACACACAATATTAAATTTTATCAGACAGATTTGTAGAATAATTAAATTAAAAGACATGAAGGTTTATTTAAAGAAATATTTTAGGTTATATGTTTTATTTGAAAAGGCTGCTTTTCTGCTGGTAAAATTTTATATGCACTTAGTGGGGGTTGTGTCTTAGTCTAGGCTTATAATTGTCCATTGTTATACATTATATTTAGAGAGAATATATAGATACACAGAAACTATAAATGCTCAGTATATTCTCAAACAAATCTCCAGCTACAGCTTACCATTTTAAATCTTGAACTAATGCAATCAAGTAGTCAACAGCTATAGTAAATCATCATGAACCATATCAGCTAGCTACTAATTATCATTACAATGTATAAAGGTAGCTTCATATCAAGCAGGGGGGAAATTCTGCCAGTACTCACCGGTACTGAGTACTGGAACTTGTTTTTTAAGGTGGTACTAGTACTGGGATTTATTTGAACTGCTTGTCGTTTTTTAAGTTAACACATAGATTTTTTATTCTTTTTCAAAAACAGGTCCATTTCACACAGCTGAGTACCTCTACTTTTTTTTTTTGGAGAATTTCACCCCTTAAACCAAGTAATCCTTTGCCCATAGTTGAGCATAAAAAAAAAGCCAACAAACAATATAAATAAAAAATTGGGAATTTAAAAACCTGCAAATAGGGATCGTAAAAAAATAAGGAAACAAGGCTAGAGATACTATAGCCATTATTCACTCAAACTATAAATTCCTATTTTGACTCCACCAAATGTTATTCTAGGTAACAACATGGGGCCGAAATAGGGGTTTGTAATTTGAGTAAGTAATTTTGCAATATCTCCAACCTTGTTTGCTTACTTTTTACAAGCCCTATTTGCAGGTTTTTAAATTCTAAATTTTTTATTTTATCTTGTCTTATTTATCTCCTTGAAAATCTTGTATGATAGTTACAATTAATAATAAATAATTTTAATTATAAGACTAAAAACTTCTATGAACACCCTCCTACCCTTGGATATCAGTTGACTACCCTCATTACTGGTGGTGTTTTTGGCCCTTAACTAAAGAATTTTTGATGAGGTTGGGCTTGATTTACTATATGATCAAGCACAGGAGGAGAACTGTTACATGTACATTTGCTATATTAATATAATTGATACTATAAATTACTAAAATACATACTGAAATATTTAAATTTAATATTTTAAAGTACTCTAAATCAGTGCTTCTCAACTGGGGTTCTGTAGAACCCTCGGGTTTGTTGACAGACTTCCAAGGGTTCTCAAGATATAGGAGATTCACAGGGTTCTGTGGAATGCAAAAGTTCCACATATTCTAATGCATAAATACACTAGTCACATAGTTGCAATCTGAATACATTATATTTCTTTATTAGTATAGAGGGTTTCTTGACAAGTCACTGCATTGTTTTAAATTAGTAAGCAGGACTAGGTTCAAACAGCTGCTAGTTTCAAGTTCTTTGTTAGCTGGAATTGCAATGGTAAACACAACATCGTTAATGTTGTGCAGCAATATTTGTGGTCTCAATAAGGATGTAAATGTGACTTTTTGTTTTGTTGACATGATAATGTACTGTGATGTATGCTCAGTAACCCATGAGGTACAAGTTGACTTATATTTGCAAGATAAAATAAACATGTTCAATAAATATTACTTGGTTTTGGTTACATGCAAGAGGAGTTTCTGTTACGGTAAATTAACTCAGCTCACATAAATAGCTATTGTCATTTAGTGCTGACCTCTATATGCAAAAAAAGTTTTTCACATGCAATAAGCCTTGAGCTCTCACGTATCCATAGAATAATACACTTTAACTGAATCTCGCATGCAAATCATCATGCGACAACCTTACATCATTAGGAATGTGACACACCTTCCTGACGCATGTGACAACCTCTATTCATTTCTACCAAACTATCACTTCTCATTTGGAAGTGCTATCATCAAGATGTTTTTGTTTGTGCTCTCTTCTCTTTTTTTGGAATTTCATATGAAGTGGAGATATTTTCTTTCTTCTTTTTTCTACTTCACTTTAACTATTGTAAGTGATAAGTTACCTTTATTGTTCTTCACCTTTTTTTTTTGGTTTTCATCAAAGTTTATGTTTCCATTTTGAAAATGTTGATATTTACTCCCAGCACAATTAGCTTCAGGTGGTGATACTTGAATGAGGAATTGTCGGCTTTAATACATTGGGAGATTGATTGTTATATGAATTGATGTCTGTCAGGCCTTGAGTTTGGTTACCTACATACTTGGGTCTGCCGACTTTATAGATAAGCTGTTATACTGTTTTGAATATTTTGATATTAATATTATTATTTGTAGTTATTTGGTTTCAGTAACATATATTTAGTTAGGTTTGTACCTACTTCTTGTAAGGTTAGGGTTTTTAATTAACGTTTAGTGATATTTTTTTGTACTATGTTATTTTCGGCTTAACATGTAATTTTAGGCTTACTTGTCATTCATCTTACTGGCGAGTTGTTTATTAGGTTAAATATATTGTTTCTTCAACAAATACCATCTACTAAAAATTTTATTGTCATTATACACTTACTTAATTTTACAATATGAGGACTTTTTTATTTTCATAATTAATTATATTTTATACTTCTTACAATTAATTTCTGCTCAACCTTATCCCACTATTGCTTGGCTTCCTCGTGAAACTGCTGAAGTTGTTTGGAATGATGTCTGTTTTGACAATTTTTCTCCACCTGATTATGAATTGGCCATCGCAGGCCCTTACTGCAGAGTCTGCTAGCCCTTCCTCAGTCCTTTTTATACATGTTTCACAGTTGTTGTTGGTTTTTTTTCCCTCCTTTTCCAGACATTTTGGTTCATGCTGGGTCTTTTTGTTTCTCTTTTGAGATATGGTGCTGACATGCCTCGCCTTCCACAGGCTTTGGTTCATTTTGCCTTAGCTTATCATCAGGCAGGTTGTTTTTGCTTTCTTGCTTCTCTGCATTTCAAATCTCTGTTGTCTGTATGGGGGCAGAATCTGTTAATCCTATCCCTTTCTCCCTATCCAAGTTTTCCAGTTTTTTCTTCCCCTATCATCTCTTCTACTGGTGTTGCCTGCTACATACCTCATTTCTGAGGAGTTCCTTCTATTTCTTGGGGATTTTCTTGAGATACCTTCCTCTCCCTTACCGCAATGTTGAGGTGAATGCCATTTTTGTTGCTTTCCCTACAAATGTGGCTTCTTTGCTTTTGGGATCTTCTAGGGTGGGATACTGTCTTGTACCAACTTCATTTCACTTCCACTGTTAATTGGGACTTACGGACGGCTTTTTACCTCCACTGGTCTGTTTTTTTGGTGGTGTTACTCCTTTGACTTTAGCATCATGTGGGGGTGTCTGTATTGCTACATTATATTTTTTTCTTTTTTGGTTGCTTTTTTGTCTTTTTGGCCATTGCATTCTTTATTAGTGTTCCAGGTCTGTCACCTTCTCATCATTTACCTGTCCTACATCTAAGAGTTCCTCCATTAGTCGTCTATTCTCAATACAGATTGGAGTTCTGTGATTGATTTGTCCCACCTTAATCACATCTTGGTTCTTCCCTATTTCCTTTGTTGTCTTTTATCATACCATGGTGGGCCATTTCTCCAGGACTGAGGACTCCTATGGTTGACATTTTGTATTTTTATGCCAACATTCCTATTTTTCATTCCTCGTGGCACTATCTTAAGTTTGTTCACCATGGGGTTGGGTACTAGTTTTGTGCCTTGCCCTTCGATCTTGTTTCAGACCTCTTTGTCTCTGGTTCCTTATCCACTTGCTTTAGCTGTTGATGCATTCACACAGGATTGGGACCTGTTTATACCTTTATTTTCTCATCCCATTTGTCATCTTCTCTGGGTGATTTTGTTCATCCTTGCCACTCTCTGTCAGGTCTTTCGGATAGCTCATTCCTGGTCAACACAGATCTGGTTTTCTCAGCTGCTTCAGCTCAATCTATCCTTTTTGTTCTGGATCAATTTTTCATACACTCCACTTTGTTGCTTGTCCAGGTATACTTACACTAGTCAAATCTGCACTGTAAGTACATGATAACTTAACAATTAACATTTCAATAACCCTTAAATGCATACTGTTGAGATGGGGTGTTCCACAAGATTGCTCGTAGGTTTTCCTCATGATATATTTGCTTCATTCATGTGTCCATTCCGGATCGTACAAACCTATGGACTTCATGGGTAAAGCAGAAGGGGATAGGTGCCTTTCCCTGCCATTCCTTAGATTTAATAAATTAGGAGTGGTCAAAATAGGGTTTTCGTGGTCTCCTGTTGCACTGTCTCCATTGTTGATGTTCCTCCGAACTCTCCACTGCATCCCTCCCCCTTTTCTTCCAGTAGAGTATGGGAGTCCATACCACTTTCCAGTTCCAAGCCACTGGGATGGTGGACTATGGAGGCATCCTCCTGAATGTAATAATGATATACAATACAAATAATGATAAAACCATTAGTTGAGAGTAGGGTGATGGTGTTCTACTGGTGTAGATGACAAAATGTCTCATGTTTCATCTCTGTCTGGGTTTATTGGAGGAAATGTTGTGAGCAGTTAAAATTGCAATTCACCCCTCAATTTGGATCCCTCATCCTACCCTGGTAGAAAGGTTCAAGGCTTAACTTCTTGTTAACCCTATCACCACGGGAATCCTTCACTGCGCATGACACAATGTTTTAGTGTCTTACATTCAAAATTTTATTAAACTACTTTTTGCTTATGTTATACCAATTAGAATAGCAATAATATTGTAGCTAATAATCCATATTTTAATAGTATACAAGTTTAAAGTTCTTAATTCTACAAGGCAATATTAAAAAAAAATCCTGAATTTCCACTAGCGTGACCCACATGACACATTTTCTTTTAGCATATCGTATTCCTATTTTATCCATCACTCCTCAAAAACAAAATTAAACATAAATTTCTCTCTATAAAAATTGTCATTGCTCAGACAAAACAATTTCTATAGTCTTCAATTCTGTTTGGTTACAGAGCTATCGAATAGAAAATCAGACCCCTCCTGCCACACCTACCTGTCACATGCTTTATTTCAGGCTTTGTTAATAGTTCTCTCTTATGTTACATTATATATTACCTATAATCAATAGAAAGTCAAGGTTTTTATCTATCAAATGATGTATTGTATAATGTTATGTTCTGAACAGTTAAATGTTAGAGTTCCAACATCATTCCCGTGGGAAAGTTAACGACTAGCTTGGATGAATTTGTCATGGCTCTTGTCACATAGAAAAAAAGCCAAAAAATTTTGAGAGGTAAGGGAATTTGTGTACTTTTTGCATGTTATTAGTCTATACTCTTTGGTGCATTATTTAATTAAATAAAAATTATTAAGTGCATTACTATCATTAGTACAAAAAAATTAGGATTAACTCTCTTCAAAAACCGATAGAAAGAAAAAGGAAGATTGGTTAAGTATTTTATTTCTTGTTTTTCATGTTTATTCTTTATGTATAATTATAAAAGTAACCTTTTAGATTTTTTAAGGTTAGATTATGTAAAATAAGTAATAATAAAAATGTTTTACGAGGCACATACATTTCATGTGGGTAACTTAGGATAAACGAATGTAGTTTCATGTTACAATTTGAAGTCATTCTAAAAAGATAATGGTGATTTAGATTTATGTAATTTTTTGTTGTGTTCTGGTGGTTATGAGATTAATTGAATTGACTGATCCTGTTTTGAGGTAGGTTAGAGAGAATAGCAGATAAACTATAAAGTTTAACTGAAAAAAAAAACATTTGAAATGCATTTAGAAGGTTTTAGGGATTACACAAAGGAAATTTGAGATTTTTGAGATGAAGAAAAATATTTTTAATTTTAACATGAAAATTACTTAGCACATGGACTATTCAAAACAAATACCCAGTATATTCATGGACAAATCTTTATTTTGTTTTATTAAAAAATACTTCACTAAAAATATGATTTTTTGTATGTAATATTTACTGAAAGACTGTCAAATTTTGTGAAAGAAATATTGAAAGAAGTATTGTATCTATAAAGACTTTAAACAAGAATAAAGAGGTCGTGTGGTCGGTCAATTTGACTGAGTTCTAGTTAAACTGTAATTGGGAAAAGTTGATGTACAGTAAGACACTGTAAATGAACTTGTGAAGAATTTGTTCATAAATGCTTAGTTATTTAACATTTCTTTTAATGGCTTGTTTCACAGTCATTTTTTTGCTTGAATAATTGTTTTTATAATATACTAGTGGCATGTCTTGAATGAATTATTGTTTCAGATCGTGAGTGAATTTGATGTCTGTTTTGAATACAAGTCCTTAATTACTGCACTCAGTTGTTGTAATTGTTTTGAGACAATCTGAGTAATTGTAAACCTCAAGTAGCTGGAAAATGGCCATTGTGATGATGTGTGGATTATGTTTGAGAACTGTGAGCTGGCTTTAAGATTTGTTTAAAAATTTATTTATTAATAGTTTTAGTTTAATTAAGAGGATGAGACAGCTGAAATAGGTCCCATGTTGTTCCAAAACGTTATGTTATGTTGAGAACAAGTGCACTACATTTGCAAAGTTTGCTTACTTGAGGAGGGGTTGGTGAGAGCTTTGTGAACAATTGATCTATCAGGTCAAATATTGTTATCTAGCCTAACCTTATGCCTTTGTGGCAGGTAATGTCATAGGTTACTGATAATATATCATTGTCAGTTTTTACTCTTGTTTTTTTTTTTAATGATTTATAGCCAGAGGTGGTAACTGCTAAAATCTTCAAGATTAAATATCAAAAGAAATATGTTATTGAAAATTATTGGATACATAAATGAAGCTTTCTGATCAACAGTAAAAACATTAATTATAAGATGAAAGGAAGTGTTTACAGAATAAAGTTTTTTTTTTCAAAACAAAACTTCTAGAAGTTCATGACGTGTTACTAGTATCACGTGACCCCCGCTGTCGTAACAATATATAACAGAACTTTTGTGTACAAAGATAAAACAAATACTTAGCAGTATATCAATGTGTTTCTTCTTAGTGATTGTTAATAAAATAATTAATTTAGTTCTGTTTTGTAACATATTCTCAGACTGAACAATCCTCTCACAGAATATTGGTTTTATACTATAGTATTACACAGCTCAAACCTATACTATACATAAATTTTTATGCATTACTATTGATTATATCTTGATAAATAAATGGTGGGTTTGAATTTTCACTTTTCTCAAGAGTTGATGTGCAAGGATAGCTTTAAAGGACCAAGTTGTCTCTGCTATATTATTAAATAAAAAGTTGATTACAGGGGTAATAGGAATATATTTCAGACTTGATCTTTGGCAGGAACTGATTTTTTATAAATGTTGTAAACTTGGTGCTGTGATATACATGTTTACTTTGGTTTGATTGTTATACATGTATAAAGAAGAAGTGATATGTATTGTATTTGGGCTAGATGTTTTAATAGTTGGAAGATGAATGTATTTATTATGATACGTTGGAGAAAATTTAATGTGTATATGTATTTTTTTAAATCCTGTTTGTTCCAGATAATTTATCACAATGGGATCCCAACAGTTTTGTTTAAAGTGGAGCAATCACCATGACAACATGCTAAATGTTTTTGAACAGCTTCTGTTCAATGAAGAGTTTGTCGACGTGACACTGGCCTGTGAAGGACTTAGTTTAAAAGCACATAAAATGGTTTTATCAGCATGTAGCCCTTTCTTTCAGAGTTTGTTTAAAGAAAACCCCTGTAAACATCCGATCGTTATAATGAAGGACATGAATTACAAAGATCTGAAAGCTATTATTGATTTTATGTACCATGGTGAAGTGAATGTGTCACAAGATCAGTTGTCAACCTTGTTAAAAACAGCACAAAGTTTGAAAGTAAAAGGCTTAGCTGAAGTTGAGGATAAAGAACCAGGTGAGAAAGATGGAACCATTTTTCATGAAATGGTCCCAAAAGTTGCTCGTGCACCGCAACAAAACACCTTAACTGAAAGCCACCGTCACTTGATTGAAGCAGCTTCAGTCAACAGAAGAAAAAGGGGAAGGCCACGACGAAGATCAGGATCTAGTCACAGTGATGTTGAAGAGTTATTACAGACAAAACTGAGACATTCAGAAACTTCTGATCTTTTGATTCAGGAAGTGTATAGTAAACAGATTTCTAAAGAAGAAAGGCTGGTTCCATCCATACCGATGGATGTTTCCCCTCCATCGACAGAATCTCAGAAAATTGATTCCTGTTCATTATCTTTCCATGCATCCACTGATCAGAACTTGTGTAAACTCGTAGCAGAAAGGTCTCGAGAGGTCTCACAAGAAGGATTGCACATGGATAATGAAACAAGTGAAGTAACAGATCAGTTTCAAACCTGCACTTCATTTACCCAGGTGAGTGATACACACAATATTTTTCAACAAGAAATACTTAACATAATTATATTAGTTTATGAAATAAACTTTTAGATTAACTACACAATACATATTAGATCCAGAGAAGGACTACGATATCCATACATCAAGGTGAAACTCAGTTTTCTGGTGATAAGTATGTGTCCAAATAATTGGCTGGTTTAGTAACACTTAATTATGATGCCTTGCACTTTGAAAAAGACAGGGAGTGACACTAACTTCTGGGGAAGGGAGTAAAATTCTCTCTAGCATCCCCACACAGTCCAAGCTTGATAAGATGCAAGCTTTAAAGTTAATTTATGAACTATTTAAGAGGAATATGAATGTGTTGTTGTCTGACAAAGAGCTCATAAATTGTCTTGAAATATTTTGTTCAATAAATACATAGTAAATTACCCCAAAAGGTTTATTAAATTTTTATACACAATTAAAAAATCATTTTAAAAACTTTCAAATGCACTGGTGTTTTATATTTTTGTTGGGGTTTGTTTTCCAAGATACCCAAAAGTATGATTCAAGTCATTCGTGTGCACAGAAAATATTTCACCAAAAGCTATGTTACTTGGTCAAAGTAGTTTCAAAGCAAATGTCTTTGTAGCAATGGATATTTTCTCTTCAGAAAATTGATTGTTGTTTTTATATGCACTTTTGGATCAGAACATGTCACAAATACATGTTCACAAAAGGTCAGAAAACCAGCGCAGTGCAAGTTTTTTTTTAATGTAAAATCTTTCCTAATAGGGTATATTACCTCTTTTTCTCACAGATATAGCTATACTCTTTCAGTGCTGCCATCTATATGCCTGTGATCAATATATACGATGCAAATAATACTGAATCCATTCACTTGAGAGTAGGGCAGTGGTTTTCTGATGAGAATGATCTCCAACCTGATGCTCCATCGCTGAATAGGTTTATCTGAGAGGATGTTGTAGATTTGGAGTGAGCCGTTAAAATTGGGATCTCTCATTCTACCCCCACATGGATGTTGGTTCCCAGTGTCTGGGTTTCGGATTCAGAGCCTGGACCAATCAACATAACTCCTCACACGTGTATTACAGGTGTCTCTATTCTCTCACTCAGTTGGACTCGTGTTCACTGCTGCCGTGTTGTGGTTCAAGGCAGATGAACATGCAGGTTACTATGGTAGAGTACACCTGGTATAGAAGTGGTGCGATCTCCCACGTAGGATCCTCTGCTGCAAGGATCTCCCATTTTTGGGTGTTCTTTAGATTATTTTGAAGGATTATTTTTTCCCTTACACTAGTCCCTCCACCTATTCAATCTGGGATTCTAGTGATTTATGTGAGAAGAGGTAATGTACCATATCAGAAGTTTTAATTTTCCTATACTGAAAATGTATTTCTGATAGGTACTTACCTCTTCTCAAACTTCCTCCTTACTGAAAACTGGTGCTTACATTTTCTGCTAAAACTCGAGGTGATAGTTTGGCTAAAATTGAATAGAGGGACTCACGTGTCAGGAGGGTGTGTCGCATGATGATTTGCATGTGAGACACAGTTGAACTACATTGATTGTGGGGTATGTGGGAGCTCAAGGCTTGTGGCATGTGAAAAGGTTTGCATAGAGAGGCCAGCACTGAACGAGAACAGCTATATCTTTGAGAGGCAGTAAGTAACTATTGGAAATACATCTTCAGTATAGGAAAGTTATAATTTTTGATGATTTTATATGAGCAACAAAAAAATATCACAGTAGTAAGAAAAAGAACCGGTACAGCATGTCCATTCTGCTCAACACCCAAGAACTGTTTGAGGATAGAGTACAGAGAAATTTTATATAGAGGGCAGCACTATCTGGATGAGAATAGGAAAGTTATAATTTTTGATGATTTTATGTGAGTTCTAAATTATTCTTGTTCCTACTTGGGTTCTCTTAATCCTCAACTGTAGGGTAAAATATTTTTATTATAAGTAGTAGGGGGGTCATTTTGATATGGTGGGCTCAGAATGACCCACAAGCAACAAAAAAATATCACCGTGTTAAGAAAAAGAACCGGTACAGCATGTCCATTCTGCTCAACACCCAAGAACTGATTGAGGATAGAGTACAGAGAAATATCAGATAGAGGGCAGCACTATCTGGATGAGAATATTGACTTGAAAAATTGACATGGGTCATTCTGAACCCACCCTATCAGTTGAGGGTTAACAAATGTATCTAAAGCTATGACTAGAAATCTTGAAACTCCCATCATTCAACATTGCAAGGTATAGTTTAATAAGATGTGTAGTAGGAAGACCTTAATGATAATGCATCCTTTGATGCAAATCATGTTATTTCACTACCTTATAAACTTGAAATGGTGATTCTTTAGAATTTAATATTCTTAACTGTATTTGACTTTATTCCTGGTAATTTGCTGTTGTTTTTAATAACTTAAAGCATTTTTACACATGAAACTAAGTCACAAAGTTGACAGAGATGTTTAAGGTTTATGGAGTCGGAATATTATCCTCACAAACAGGTATTTTAGGTAACTTCCATACTATGTTATTGTTGCACCAGACAAATAAGAGCTTGAAACTTTTACTTCTATTTGTATAGATGTTTGGTGAGAGTTATAGGTCAGTTAGTCTTATTCTGTAGTGGGAAATATTCCAGAGAGTCTCATAAAATAAGCCTCACAAAGTCATTTAATGAAATATATCATATATGTATAAGAGGTCGAAATAGTTCACTAAAGGCAGATCATGGTGTACTAATCTTTCAACTTTTTTTTGAGGATGTTACGCACACCACTAGCCTTTTGCATATCCACATGCAAATGATCATGCAGCAGCTATCCACCAATAGGAGTGTGACACCACTCCTATCATAACCAGCACCCTCTTCATATCTGCACTTGTCAATAACTTCTCGATTGGCAGTAGTATTGTACAGACGTGCTGCTTTTTGCTCGCAGATTTGTCATTTTCCATTATACTACTGACTTAGTTTGTTTTTTTTACTATTTATTTAAATTTTTACATTTTGGTATTGTGAAAAGTTGCTTTTTTTTCAAACTTTTCCTATTTCTTTAAGGGCCTTTTTGCTAGTGTATTGTGGATCTTGCTTAGTAGTAAGAGGTGCCTGACCAGGTATACTTTTTTTTTAATCTGCACTGTCTATTCTGCAATCATGCAAGATGTCAATTACATTGTAGCCCTTCTTATCGTGGGCCTGAAGTAGAATTCCAGGTGTTGATTTTGTGTGTCTGTTTTATTGTTATATGTGACTAAACTATTATGTCACAGGTTTGGGTTATGCACACCGTAGAGATGGGATGTTCTGTAGGACTGCTAGTAGTTCTGTCAAGTGGTTTTTTACTTCATACATATGTTCATCCTGGACTGTACACTTGTGGACTAATATGAGTAAAGCAGACAGAGATTGTTACCCATCTCTGATGCTTCGTGTCATGAAGACTCTTCCTACCATGGCCCTGATGTACAATTTCAGATGCCACCAGATTTTGGTTAGTCGACTCTGTCGATGTAATAGCTCTGCTTTTCAAAATAGTGTATTATGGTCACCCGTTGCATTGTCTCCAATGATGCAGTCTTCCAGACTCTCTGACATGTTTTTTACTCCCTTTCTTCTAGTGGAATATGGGAGTCCTTACCACTTAACAGTTCCTAGCCACTGGAATGATGTGCCATGGAGGTTTGTCCTCCTGAGTGATGAATCATATCATTCATTTGAGAGTAGGGTGGTGGCATTCTGCAGATGTTGCTGGCATATCCCACTACTTATTGTGGACCAGATGTACAATTCCATATGCCACAAGGTTTTAGTTGTAGCACTATGCCTTATTCCTGTCTATATATCATGTGTAGATGGTATGATGCCCTTCCTACCATCCTCTGCATATACATTCACAGGGAGTCCAGTGTTGTTGTTGTTTGGAGAGGGTACAGTTAAGTAAGTCCTCACATGTGTGCTAGCTGGTCTCCCTCCTCTTACTGTGGACTGAATAACAAATGCCCACTGCTGCCAGGTTTTGGATTGGAGATACACCCCAGGTTTGCAGTCCCTCTTCATACCATCTGCTGGATGTCGGTTCCTGGAAGATCTAGTGTTGGCTGTAGCTGAGTACAACACGTTTTCCTGCTGGTGCATGGCTGAGTGTCCTTCTTGTACTGCAGACTGGAAGTACCATACCATTGCCATCAGGTTTTGGACCGGAGATGTTATCCTGTCGGCTTTCCACCTTCCTACTGGATGTTGGTTCCCAGCAGATCTGGGGTTTGCTGTGTTGGAAACGCACCGACGTGGAGATGGATTTTGGTACAGAAGATCATCTTCTTTACCAATTCCCGTTTCAAGGTGAAGAAGTAGGTGATCCTCTACCCACAGTGGGTCTGATGTATCATTCCAAATTCCACCAGGTGTTGGATGAGCTACCACTACATTCTGTTACTGAATGCCCAGGAGTCCCATTCATCGTTCATATGTATTCTGGGATTCTTTCATGTTCTTCCACCTTTTATGTTCGTGACACAAACATAAAAGAGCAAATATTATACCTGGATCAAAAGTGGTGCAGTCTCCCACTGGGGTGTGATGTTTTCTCTTTTCGTTCCACACCTCCTGGTCTCTGTTTGAGTAATTCATAAAGGGGGATCTTTTTTTTATCCGCCCTCCACCGGTTCATTATAGGATTCTATCTATTTTGTGAGAATATGTAAGATATCGTATTGGAAGTTAGCATTTTCCTACATTAGAAATGTATTTCCAGTAGATTCTTACCTGAAGAGGACACTGGTTACAATAGAAGTGGTGTTGTGTTCCTATTAGTGGAGAGCTGCTGCATGATCATTTGGATGTGGATATGCAGAAGTAGGAGGAGGAAGGCTAGCGGCGTGCATATGACGTGAACACTGAACTATTTAAAAAAATATATTTAAATTGAAAAATCTTGTACACAGATATTTATCAGAACTGATACTTTTACAGGTCCACTGAGAAGTGTCCACAAAATACAGATTCTGGAAATGTTAGGCTGAGTAATATTTCAAGTCCAGAAAGCAAGAGAAATACAAATGAAAATATAAATCCTTATTTACAAACAGTGTTCTGTGTATTTGCTTACTGGGTAGCTTCTAATGATACAAATTCTTTATTGGCTGTTGGGACTTGAAAGAAACTTTAAAAAACGCTTACACAGGGCAGAGACTGAAAGAAATCAAGATTCAGAGCTATGATAACAACCCCAATTTATAGTTAGATTGAAGCCTTTGTGTGGTATCCCACTATATGTTAGCTAGTTTAATAAATAGTATACAAACAGTTCTAACAATTCCAAGCCAGTTTGTACAGGTTTTGTGTATCACCTATTTGAACAGGCAAACTTCCTAGACACCTGTACAGAAACACATGAATGCTAGTTAAAACTTAAGAACAAAAGTTTCCCTGTCTAACCTTTACTCAGTCAAAAGGACTAATACATGTTCATGACTTTGGGACATTAGTGAACAAGGATGTCATAACTAAATGAAGAAAAATGACCTGGATTTACTTCAATATATCTGCATATTTTGAACTAATTATGGAGGGGGAGGGATTAACTGTAAGACCATTTTTTGTTCAGTTACATTCAAATTGTTCTCTCTTGTTCTGTGTTTCTTTACAGTAAATTGGATAATACCATCGTCTCTCACTGAATTTTTAATATTTAAAAAAAAATCATTAGGAATGAGAAATTAAGTAATAGATATAATTGTAATTTAAATATTCACACCCTCTTAGATATTAGATTTTTTGAATGAGATTGTACCAGAAGGTGAAAGATGGCTATTCCATTTAGCTAATCAATTTTTATATTTCTTAAGAAGGATAAATATTAATTTTTGCAAAAAAATATTCATTTACAGTTGGGTAAAAAAAAAACTTAAAATAAGCATTCAGTAACTGTAATCAGAGATATTTTTAATGCTGTATATATTTTCTAGTTAATACACACAGTTGCTGTATGAATGCAAAGTAGACAGGATACAGTAATACTTAAGTTTGATTAATAGAACGTGTTAAATGAATAATAATATAGTTTTAACTAGTTTTTAGAAATTTCAAGAACATTACATACACCTTGTGTTTATGAGCCAGCAAACTTGAAATAAAGACCCAAATACTCTGATGTCATGGTGAATGCCATAGAACTAGAATAAAATAATCTAATTTACAAACTGATGATTCAAATCTTATGTAGGGCTGATAGCTAACTTAGATCTTTCTTTAGATAACTGAATATCCATGTAAATATCAGTATCAGGTGAAATGTTATCATAAATTGATGACATGGCTGTAGGCCTACGTTAGTGTTACTCAAGTAACATTGGTTTAAATCTTAAAGTTTCGCTATTAACAGTAATTTCAATCTTTATTCAGGTGGATTCTTTTGTTTAGGAAGTTACAAATCGTGCTGAAATATAGCACACAAATATAACATGCAGTATGCATTTCATAGTTCCATAACATTTAATCTTTTTTCATTAGTAAACAGCAGCACTAACGAAGAATTACTTCTAATGCATATTCAAAATCCATGCTTATAATATGATGATTGTTAACTATTTAAGTGTAAATATTTTTGTTTTATTTAACCAGACAGTTACAACATCAAGCAACCAAACACAAGATGAGCCATCACCACCTACTATTTTGAGTCCTTCTGCTCCTGCCAATGCTGAATCTACAATTGAGTCAACAATTTCTAGTCATACGTCAACGAGTCAAATGGTTGTATCAACTGCTACACTAGGTTCATTACCCTCCACATCTGCTTCAGAATTAAAGACAACCGCTATGCTGGAAGGTAAATCACTTTAACTGTATATGAAAAAAAATGTCAAGAAAATTTGTTTTAGTACTTAGAATAATATTCACCTTTTTTTATGTTACTAAATAATATCTTTGGTATTAAAAGGAAGAAAAAATAGGTAGTGTACTGTGGTAAGTAAGTGCAGAGTTTGAAATGATGGTCCACATTTCACTGATGGCCAAAGGGGAAATAAATTGTGTAAATGTAAGCTACGTAAAGTAAAATTTACAAATTTAGCATTTTTATTGTACCTATTTTTTAATAATATAAAATGACTAACTAGCTAAATTAAAAATATGGGTTTAAAGTATTATAAAACATCCTGTAGTTTGTGTGAAAATCCACTAATCCACTACTATAAAATATATTTTCATTACAATCTTTGATAATAAAGGGGTAAAACTAAAAAATAAAAAGAAACTGCTGTTTAGTTCACAGAGAGAGAGAGAGTTTGAAAGAATATATATTTTGCATACAAAACTAATATTGGCATTATTGTATAATTATTAAATTTTTTTATTAGAAAATAGACAACTCACTATTTATGTTTTCAGTTGAGTAGCACATCTGATGATATAAATTCCTGTAGGTATGTTAACAAGATGACTTCAATTTGTGTTGGCAAATGCTCTGATGACTTTTTGTTGCTTAAATACCCTTGGATTCTCAGAATGGTATACAAGCTTAAAATTGAAATCTCCTGATGCATTAGCCCCAAGCGACAAGTTAAGCCTATCCTTTTGGGGCTTATGGCCTGGCAAAGCATTTTCTTCCTGGGTGATGTAAGTTCTGTGGGGAATCTTTTTCCAAAATAGCCCAGTTTTGTCCACATTAAATACTTGCTCCTCCATTAATTCAGCAAATTCCACTTTGAACTTTTCTCTTATCTGCTTGAACTATCAAACAAACTCATCCTTGCCTGGAAATCTTCAAAAACTGAACCCAAGGATTGAGCTGATTCACATGTAAGGTGATCAAAAATGTTTTTTGCTTACTCACAAATCATACTTCTATCTATGGACTTACCTTGCATTTGCCTATCATGAATCCAAAGCAACAGCAGTCTTTCCATTTCTACAATTCTTTCCCTTCCTTTAATGACCCTGGTTGAGGCATCACTCACTTTGGTAGCTTTAATTTTCTCCTTATTTAGCAGGATGGTGGAAATTGTTGATTGAGACAAGCCATACTCCTTAGCAAGCACACTTGTTTTGTCCCCTTTTTTCTGACTTCTCAACAGTTTCCTGCTTTATCTTAAGGGTTATGCAGTTCCTACTCTTCTTATACTTTTGCAAATTACCTTTATGGACCATTGTGATCATTATAAATTCACTTTTAAATCAATAAATTCAATAAAATCATAGTGCCTGCAAGAGACCTCTTTCCACAGCATAGCAAACTATGTAAACAAAGACAGTCTGGCTCCAAAAGCTCATAAATGGGTGTCACTGATTGGCCGAGGCCTGCCAAGTTTAGTTAGGAGCTCACTGTACTAGGTTTATTTATTACCTTTAAGGATGACAACTTGTGAGAAGCAGCAGTGACACTGGATGTCACCCGTTTTTAGCTGAACTTTGAGAAATGAACTCTTTGAATAACAGTAACTTAGAAGAAGAGGATGTTATTTTTTATTTTCATTCCATGCTGCTGTGGAATTCTTTCAATAAGAAATATTTATTACAACCAAAAAGAAATAGGTAACTGCCACAACTTATGTAGACACAGGTTAAATTTGTTATTTCATACTACTAGTTCTAAAATTATGTATATGTCATAACATTTGTGAGAGGTAAAGACAGGATCCATACAGGTGCTCTTATTGTAAATGCTCAATACAGCATTTGGTGCTGCACTTCCTATGCTTACTTTTTGGAATTACTTCCTTTCGTGGTGAATAATGGCAAATATTATTGATAATAATCATGTTTTATAAAATTCAAAAAGGCATTCAAACCATAACAATTGTTGCTGTAAAAAATTGATTATATGAATAGTAGTTCAACAGTGCTGTGTTTGTTGTATCCCAGCCAGCCTGATGAGTTCTGGATTGAGCAAAACACATTGTTGGCAACAGATATGATGAACATAGTGTAGTTGGAATACTATTATTATACACTCCTCTAATTCTTGAAAATCTATAGGTAATTAGATATAGAATGGAGGGTTAAAAATATATTGAGACTAATGTCTAATGGCAAGTAAATTAAAAAATAATATATGCACCATTTTTGTTTATTATTATTATTGCTGGACAAAGTTTTGGTGGAACTAAAATTTTCTTAAAATATTCATGTGGCTCTAGAATCAAAGATTGGCAGATCTGGTAAATGAAGTTTTGCGAACCTGTTCTAGAGGTGCATAATGTTCAGAATAAAGCAAATTATTTGGTATTTTTAATTCTGCAGGAAAAGAAGTAAAATTCAGATTTTATATATAAGAAGCAAACTATCTAAACAAGAAAATATTAAATTAGTTTTCTTTTTTCCTTTTCTTTTAGCTATAAACTTACAATTTTGTTTATTATAAGAAAACAGCTCACTCACTGTTATGTTTTCAACTCCATAACACATCTAATCATATAAATACTTGTAAATATGTTATATTTTTCTGTCATGCCAACTAAAAGTATAATTCTAGACAGAGTTATTATAGAATTGAAAAAATAATAGTATAATCAATATGCTCTCTAGATATCAAGCCAGTTGTGTCATCCCTAAAGGACTCATCCACACCAAATTGTGATCAATCTGCAGAAAAGTACAGTGTTATGCCGTATGTTGACTCTCTAGGAATGCCGTCTCTACCTGGCCCCAGTACTTACCAGCTGGATCTTAATTTATCACAGACACATACTCATCATCAACAAACATCTTCTCAAGGTAAGCTAACTAAGAATGTTTATCTAAATGAACAAACTCAATTTTTATCTAGCAAATTGTAGGTCTTCTCAGGGAATTGTAGTTATTAGTTGTATTATGTATGGAAACTTTAGTCATAATAGGCTAAGCTTACTCTAAATCTTTTTTACCTCATGTGCTCATTGGATATAGAATTGATTTCAGTTTTGTTAGGCTATCTCAGAAAGACTTGGGGATCAGCGTAAGTTTGCCAGGTTGTGTAGAAACAAGTTTTATCATTACTTATGACTGAAAATAAAGAATAATATAATAAAATATCAACTGTGCTATATCTGTTTTATCCGGTGCTGACTAGGTCTTTTGCCAAATACTAGAGCTTAAAAACTATATGGTATTTAAAAAACAGTTTCCATGGGCTAAGTAAATGTGTGATAAGAGTACAAATTTTTGTGCATACAGTGAATACACAGTTTTCTGTGTCTATTCAATAAATCTAAGACTAATTTTCAAGGGTTTTGTGATAGTGTAAATTACACCTTGATTTATAAATCTTAATTATTAAAAATCAGTGTAAACAAATTTTTTGTCATACTCAGTTTGTCTTTTTGGTTATTTGACATCAATGCTCATGTTGTCTAAGATGTTCCAGTGTCTCTTCATGCAATTCTGAGCATCATGATGTAAAAAAAGCACAAGATTTATGAATTTATATTAATTTTAAGTATTCACATGAAACAGTTTTTTCAACTTTTTTTTATTGTCATTGATTCATTAATGTTGCTAATGATAAGGAAATTAATTTGAGATATAACAGGATTTAAATATTTCTGTTTTTGAAGGAATATGTTTTGTTTGAAGCTACTAAATAAATTGTACTGATAAAATTAGTTTTTTTTAAATGTTGCTGTATTTAGGTTTTTTAAACCTTTTAAACTGTGACAAAGAAGTGGGAGGTTGAATTTCTAATCAGTTCTAAATTTTTAAGCCTTTGTGTTGGTGAATTTATTAGTTTTATTTTAATGTACTGAAAGGTATTTCTATATTATAATACCAGTTTTATAGGAAGTTGAGGCTGAGTTAGCCTTGATGGAGCATGCCTTTGAAAAAAAAGTAGCCGTTATATCAGCCACAATAAAAAATACCATTCCGATATATCTTACCTCAACTCACAAAAAGCTTTCTCGATTAGTACTGCCCTTTATCAGTTCAAATTTTTCCCTTGCCACTAGCCTTGTAACTCCCACTTCTTTCTGCATATCTAAATGCAAATGATCATGCATCAACCCTCCACCAATAGAAGTGACACACTACTCCTATGGTAACTAGCAACCTCTCTAATAATGCACCTGTTAATAACTTGGCAGTCTTACTGTTAAGATGTGTTTGTCTTTGCTTCCAGTTTTCATTGTATTTTCATTTAGTGAATTTTTTCTAAATACTTTATGTTCAGTTTGTTCAAATTTATACTTTGTATGTATACACTTGCAGTTTCAAGTAGTTACAACTACCACTGCTGTTACTGCACCTGCGGATTTACCGACCGCTTCTTTGGGGTTAGTCCCACGGTTATCGGCCGATGACGTGACTACTATGATTGTCTAATTTCATGCAATATTCACCACCACCTGAGGAGTATTCTGTCATACCAGCAGCTGGTGTGTCTAACAGGGAGCATGAGAATTTGGACAGCCATTTTCCCCTGCTGAATATGCTTCTCAGTTGTGTATCGTATCAGGGGACTTACCCAAGCCTCCTTCTTCATTTGTTGTCTCGATTAATCAGGTTTGTTTGATTTTGTCTTTGCCTCCTGTTTCCTTTGATTCTACCCATGTCCTCCTTAGGGACGAATCTTTGGGTCAATATGAGGTTTATCCTCCTTCACCAGATATTGGGGATCTTGATAGTCGTTTTGGGGAACAGTTGTGATTGGAGGTCAGTATACCTCATCCCCCGCATACGTTGGACGATCATGCTTTTGCTTTTCATCATGCTAACTACCCATATTTAGACTCCCAGTGTTTGGGATCTCTTATTCCTTTGAGGGGTTCGGAACCTAATGTACAATTCCAGATGCCGTAAGGGGTGGTTGAGGGCGAAATCCCATTTACGGTCTGTCCAGCCCTAGCCACTTGACACCTGGGGGTCCCTTTCCTGCTGAAAATGGTTTGGGTCCCCTCGATGTTTCTGGCCTTTAGGTTTTGGTGACACATTCCTGAAGGCTGAAGAGTATACTTGGCTCAGAAGTGGTGTGGTCTCCCACTGATGGGTTGTTTTTAGTTCTTTACCACACCTCATGGTCTTTCTTTGGTTACTTTCTAAAGGAGGATCATACTTTCACCAGCTCTCGACCAGTTCATTGTGGGATACTAGCTTTCTGTGAGAAGAGGTAAGATATTGTATTGGAAGTTAACATTTTCCTAAACTGAAAATGTATTTCTGATAGATACTTACCTCTGCTTATATTTCCCACCCGTTCATCTCCCCACTTCCGGTGTAATGTTTAAATTGGTCATGACTAGTCTTGAAATGATTAACAGGTGTATTATTAGAGTGAGCGCTAGCCACGATAGGAGTGATGTTGCACTCCCATTGGTGGAGGGTTGATGCATGATCATTTGCATGTAGATATGCAAAAAAACGTGAAAGTTACAAGGCTAGTGGCAAACGAAAAATTTGCATCAATAGACGACAATACTAATCAAGAAAGCTTTTTGTGAGTGGAGGTGAGTATCTATCACAAATACATTTTCAGTTTAGGAAAATGTTAACATTTGTAATTTTAGATAAAGTTTGAGAATCTTTATTTGGAATCATCTTAAATATCGAGACACATTGAGGACTTTCATCCATGAAACAAGTAGATATATTTCTCTTGATGAGCTTTTTGCTCTGTTACTACACCTTTTAAGAATCACAATGCTAGTAACCATTACACAGAGTTTCATTTGTTTTGTTTTTTTATAAAGAAAACTCCTAATATTCTATTAAGTTATAATTATTTTGGCCAAATTGGTAAGATTTCATAAAAGTATTTTTAGACATTTTGGATAATATTTTAACTTACAAATGCTTGTATTTTGCATTAGTACTTCTAGTTTTCATTTATATTAAAACTTGATAAGGTTATTACATTGAAGTGTCATAATGAAGATAATCAACTGATAACTAAATATTCATTCTGTTCACTACATCCTCTAACTTCTTGCCATTACAAGTATCTTAGTTTATTTGTTTGTATGTTATATTGCAAGATTTTTTTTTGTAGACATTTCTAGTGTGTGAACTTTTATTAGCAAGTTTGTTATTTTAACTTTGATATATTTAAAACTTATGACTCTTGAAAATGCAACATAAAGTTGTCCGTGGCTAAAAACTGTTTCTGGTAAATCTAGTCTAATTTCTATGGGACATTTGGTCATAAGCTTTATTGATAGTCATCGTAAAAGCAAATCTTATTGGAAACTGTCTTCTATCAAGGTTAAATGGCATTGTTGGATCAGGTGGCATCAAATCAATTCTTAAAATCCAAACTCTTGTAAATTGAGCCTTACTGGTTGATCGTATTAATATGAAGACTGGTTATGAGATGAACTTCATTTTTAAATTTGTCTTACTGTTTGAGTTTCTAATCAACATGATTATTTTTTCTATTTTTAATATCAACTTATGTTGTGGTAAGTCTGCAGGGGTTAAACTGTTGACATGTTCTGTTGGTATAATACTGTACTAATTTGGATCATCAGTTACAATGTTAAAATAAGTTTTCAATTCTCATATTAAAATGTTTTCCACAATATCATCATGAATTTTTAAACAATGCTTATTTTTTTGGACATAATATTACCCTATCTTTCATGTTTTTAATATTTTCTGTTATTAACTTTTTGCCAAATATTTCATTAATTAAATCATCTTCAGTTATACATGTTTTCGGTATTTTAAAACAGTCTTCTGATAATCAAGGTATTTGTTTCATTTGTCCATTTGCTGAACTCTTGTTGTCTAAGACCTGTTCTCATATTTTGGTTATTTTCAGTTTTGTTTTTTTGGCCAAAACTTTCCTGAGTTTTTTGATGCTTCAGCCATTGTTGAACAAAATATGTGTTTAACAACTGGAAAACCTGAAATCTCCACCAAATACAATAATTTTATTTCCAAACAGTTCATTCTTCTTGTTTTCTTTACTTCCAAGCCTTACTGGATTTTTCCTACACACAGTGATTCAGTATATTGATATATGAGACATTCTTTGTGGAAGGATCTCTTTGATTTAGCTTTAACATTGTTTCATGGTTAGACTTCTTCATTAGTGCTTGTTTTTCTTGCCCGACAACAAAAAATAATTATTTTTCTGTTGCTAAATGCATAACTAAATTCATCATGGTATGTGATTGGCTATACATTACAAATTCAAAAAGATATCAAGTGCCTTTTGTTGCACTAACAAATCTTGAATCCAAAAATCTGTTTTTTTTTTCATTCCAAATTTTTGTTTAACTCTCTCAACACGGGCTCAGTCAATTTGACCGATCACGTGACCTATTTTGTACTCATTTAAAGTCTTTATAGATTTAATACTTCTAACTTTCAACATAGTGTATATATCTTCACAAAATTCTTTGTAACATTATAAGTCTTTCACATACAAAAAAAATCACATTTTCTGTGAAGTATTTTTAATAAAATAAAGATTTGTCCATGAAGATATTGAGTGTTTGTTTTGAGTAGTCCATGTACCAAGTAATTTTCATGTTAAGATTAAAAATACTTTTACTCATCTCAGAAATCTCAAATTTCTTTTGTATCATCCCTAAAACCTCCTAAATACATTTCAAATATTTTTTACAGTAAAACTTTATATTTCATCTGTTATTTTGTCTACCCTAACTCAAAATGGGATTGGTCAATTTGACTGACCTTGTAACCACCAAAAATAAAATCAAAATGAATTTAAGTTACCCTTTTCTTCTTTCTAAAATGACTATATTAGTTTATCCTAAGTAGCTATAAGTTCATAACAT